ACATACAGATTCTAAAGGTATAGAAAGATAAAGAACCTCATTTTGCTCCAAATTTGGATGCTCAAGAAATAGCCTCAGGTTCTCGTTCTTTTTTGCTTCTGAGGAACAAATCGAACCCCTTGCTTCCCGAGCTCGACTGTCTTAACTTTCCCATTCTCAAGCGTTACCATCAACTTCGATGTGCCTCCTCCTACTTCACTTACCACTCCTTTCTCCCTGTTTTTTTTAAGCATTCGTTAGAGACTTACAATAGATGAAACATCTAATGTTCAAATGGGGGAAAAAGGTTGCATATACCATGAATTATCCGAGGCCTCGTGTATTTGAACCTTTTTTCCTTTCGCCTTCTTCCCCAACCTCTTCAGAATCCAGCTAGCATCAAGCATTTCGTCTAACAAACCGTCTTCACGTGACAGTGACACATCTTCATCTTCATTGAACGCTGACTTTTCAGCTGGAGGCGATGCTCTCTTTCTCTTAGACCTATGTCCTTTACCGGATTTACTTTTTTCTTTGACAATGCTAGGGGCTTCACTATCTTGGCTCTCATGATTATGGGTTTTTATTTTAACTTTCAGCAATCGTCTTGAATCTTTCTGCAACTCATGTGTCTCACCATGTAAATCTCCTCTGCCTTCTGAGTGTCTCCCGATAATTACGCTAGCACCCTTCGAAGAGCCTACTTCACCACCTTGAGACCCTCTCTTTTCGTCGTTTCTCTTCCCCAACAAACTCCACTGCTGTTCTGGGGAAACTGTCTCTTCTGATTGTAATTTCTCATGCTTTCCTGAAAACAACCCGAATATTCTTTTATATGTTGTATAGCAATCAAAAGAATATAACAAATTTAAATTATCGACTTATAAAGTGTACTTTTCTCATATAATGCAAATACTTAAAACTACACATACCATTGGATTTGGAGGCAAGCTTTGATACCTCGCTGCTCATAGAGTTTGTAACCCCAGCCTTTCGAGGGCCAATACTTATCACCAATTTTTTCGCTTTCACAGTGTTAAGCTCTGTAGCATGTTTTCCAAATTTCCCACTGTCTGAATCTTGAGGCCTGCTACTTTTTATCCTGAGAACTCTTAATGGCTTCTCTTCCTCACCACTGGCCATAACTTTTTCGGCAACTTTTCTTTCTACAGAACCAGGCTGATTGACAAGAGGGGAAATGACACTATTCCCAACGACTCGTGCACCAGCTTTGAGGGTAGCAATTAGCTCTTTATCCTCCATATCTTTCCGCTTCCAAATTTCCTGTACAGCATCTTCAAGATCCTTGACCTAGCATCATAAAAACAAATCAGCGAGAGGAAATGAGACCAATAAATTGTCATCCACAGCAATTCACTAGCCTCTCAGTCGTGCAGAGATATAATAAGACAACCAAAACAGAGAAAAAGACGGATGGCCCATGAAACACACCTGGTAGCATTCTCCGCGACAAGTAGAACATTTATATTGAAGATTTCCATCTACTTGAAACTGCATATATTTCTCATCGCTGCAACATTTGTTTGCTAAGTTAATGATAGTTGGAAACAGACTTGGAAAACATTCTTACAGGGACACAGAAGCGCAACTGGCCATCTGAAACCGAGTAACGATACAGACCTGATTCCATCGCACATGCAATGAACCCAGCGCTGGCAAAAATCACAACACACCATTGGTGTTGATTCCGAGTCCCTGTAGACCTATGTGGTGAACGCAAAATAAGTTGGTCAATTTGATTCAAAGCGAGATAAAGAATACATAACAATGTTGCATATAAATGCCTTTTCAATACTTAGATGTCTGATAGTATAGGGTAACCGTGTCTGATAATATAAGGTAACCACTGTAAAATACATATACCTCAAAAATCATCTATTGCCAAACATAACCTAATATGAAGCATGGAAACAGAGCACACATTTCACTATCAAGAACGGAGAGTGTGGGAGATTATACCTTCAAACATACAGGACAATAATTTCCCTTAACAAACAACCTTCCACAAGCATCACAACAAGTATGCCCCAAAAACCACCTGCAAGTTTAAAAGGAACGATAAGCAATCGAGTGCACTTTAAATGAATCAATTAAAAGTATACATCACAAAGCAAAAACTTTAGATACCGTAAGCTCTGGCCGTTCCCAGGGACTTTAGACCCACAGCTGTAACATTTAGTGTGTTTGGAACACAAATAGGGTCCAGAACTAACATTCTGAAACATCCAAGGATGAAAATAAATCAATTTGCAAAAGAGCAAAGACAAGATGAGAACGTTATATAGAAGCAACAAATATTATACCTTGTGCCGAGGCTGTTGGCAATCACAATGATATGCATCATCACATCTTTTGCAGAACATCAACTTCTTTGGATCCCCTAAAGTTCCACAGGCCTAAAGGAAAACATAATAAAGAGAATGTACAGGATAAGCAACCTATTACTTCTGTCTAGAGGCAGTCAAACAATTTAATTAAAATGTTCATAATCAATCTCTCATGACCCATGATATATCAGATACTTTCATGAGGAAAAGTCCTTGTAGACCAGCATGTAAAGAGCATGACTAGTAAATGCCAACGATTAGTCACTAAGCACAAAGTTGAGTGCGAACTAACCTCACAGATACGACAAGAGGGGCAAGCCCAAGAGCTCCAGTTAAATAAATCTGCCAGCAAAATCCGCTATAAGAATCTACGCACAAGACTCATAACCATCGCAATAATATGAAAAAGATACCTCTATGTTGAGCCCAAGGCTTCAAGCAGTTTCTATGATACTTCTTGCCACAACTTTGGCAAGAAAGCATCTTCGCCGCTTTCTCACTCCTCCCAATTTCAACAGAATAGCAAATGTGACAAGTAATACTTGCACCGTGATGGTCATGATCTTCTCCATTGACCTCTTTGACAGGAACCTGTAAGGGCAGAACCCAACCAAAACACAAACGAAAACAGTTTATCAACATTACTGACCTACACACATGACGATGCTACTACATATAATGTTTCACTGCATCATCAAACAAAGGCTGCTATATCATAACCATATCCATGTGCAACAAAATTCTCAAGTTACCAACATACACGTTCAGTTCAACGAATTAGCAGTAACCATACAAATAACCAGAAGCAGGAATCACACCTCTAAGTCACCAGAACCGGATTTAGCAGCAGCACAATCATCGGCTACTTTCCTCTGCAACACCAAACGGTTAGGCTGTACCGAAACCGAAGAAGCGGCAACCTCCATAGCCGAATCATTCCCAACACGAACAACATCTCTAGCCGCAATGCGAGGACCAGTATCGAAGACATCAAGTTTAGGCACATGGATCTGAACGGTACCATCCTTGGAAACCTCAGGATCCCAAGGGCTTCGCAAAAACTCATCGAGAGATTGGATCTCGTTGATAAACACATCCTTGACTCCCTTACCATGAAGATTCCGAGGAAACCCCAACAAGCAGAAGCAAATTTTCCGGCTGCGAATAAAGAAAGAAGAAAGTAAACCCCAAAAAAACCCAATTAGAACAATTCGATAAGTAAAACAAACAAAAGGGAAGCTTTAGGAGGCGCG